CTACTCTTTTTCCAACGAATAGTGGGATTGACTGTCACATTATAACGCACCCACGGCTGAAAGGGCGAGCATGTTTGGTGAGACTGGGATTCCAACCCGCGACCCTCTGATTGCGAGTCGAGCGCCCTAACCACCTGGCCATGCCAGGCCTTGGGGCTGTGAGAGCGTTATAAAAGTGACAGTTAAAACTCCACTGTTCGATCAGACGTGAGTCGCCCAAGAGTTGGCGATGGGTGCTGTTGACTAGTTGCCTCCTGTGGTATTTCAGTTCAAAATTAGGGATGATTATGGTCTGCGCAAAACTCTGAAATGAAAATTTCTAAGTTACCTTTTGCATTCGATGGGTTTATGTATTCGGTTGTTTAATTCTATTGTTAAAGAATAATAATAATGATTCCAATGAAAATAAGAACTGTGGTTTAGACTGTTGTTTAAATTGATTTGCTCTTTTTATTTCCATCCAAAACGGACAATATACTCATAAATTTAGTTGTCAGAAGTATCTATGATATTTAAAACAAACATTTACAATCAAATGTTTTAAAGTTGACACGTAAGTTTCTTAAAGAACGCTTGACGATAAGTCGTTGCCAACAAAACAGTTTCACGAAATAAAATTCAAAATTACGAAATAAAACCTCTGAAAGTTTTCGTTGAAAATATGATTTATTTTATGAACTTGGAGTCAAATTTAAAAAAAAACGAAGAGTTTTTGCTATATTTTGAATTGGTTAAATAAATCTGTATATGAAGTTTTTAATCATTACGACCTGTGCATGAGACATTGTTGGCTTAAGAAGGGAAGATAGCTGTGAAAAGTGTTTTATCTCCTGAACACTTTTCTTTTTACACCTTTTGTTTTCTGTCTACAATTACCTATTGTATTGTGTACTAAACAACACTGAGTCGAGCATTACTGGGTTCAGTTCAGTAAAAAGTGTGTTTTGGAACCAATTGTGGTCACTTTGGTTGAGCCAGAGAGGCCTAAATGTAGTATATGTATAAGTTAAGGTTGTGTCGTAATTTGTTTTAAGCTTAATGGGGCATTGGCGGAAACATCGTCTATTACAGCTAATCCCTGGCTTCTTCTCTGTGTTGGATCACTATGTGAATATTGGCTGTAATAATAAATATTTCTATAATTGGTTATTTGACGTCTCGTGTGATGTTATTTGGGAAACTGGAGTTCTGGAGCTAAAATAAAAGGACCACGTGCCTAGTCAACATCTATGAGATAAGATATCTACTATGACATTTTTAGAGTGGCATGATATTATTTCAATGACGATCATTCCTATCTGTTGGAACAATAGTTACAATATATATATAAGAAAAACGCCATTAATGAAAACAGTACATTTTGTATGATCATTGCTAAGATGTCTATCTTCCTGAGAAGGTTTTAATAATAAATACATGCAAGAGTATTGGATTTTCCCCACAATCTTCAAAAGAAATGTAATAATATTAAGCTTAACTTACACGAGTGAATTGATTTTGATATATAATATTCAGAATACGTCACCTGTAATCGCATAGTGTTTAAGATGAGTATTTCTGCTCTGCTTCAATTTAACAGCTCTACTGGTGGTATCACACTACCTACGAAACGCCAAACAACATTAAAATGTAGTTCTTATACCTTCTGTTTCACCGCAATCTTATGTCTGCTGTAGTTGTAATGTGGCTTGCTGATTTTTATATTCAAAATCAACTTAATATAATGTATTGAAAAAGTCCTAGCACATAATGATATGCACACAGAACTTGTCCTCAGTGACCCCAGTACATAACAAACTTGTTAATTTCACGATATAGATAGAGCTCGCAAAATGTTCATATCCACCTCAAGCGGCCAACACAGCTGTACACATTTGCTTCATACTATGTAAGAGTCTTTGGATGGGGGTTCTGCTAAATGTCTTTCCCATTCCCTCACCAACACATTTTTCCAAACTGTATTGCCTGTATGATGTGGAATCATTCCTGGAGCTGGTCAAAAGAAACTCTTGCACTAGTTTTCTACGTTGGAAAGATGTACGTTTTTGTACCAGTGAGACACTACCAAGTAGACCACATAGTGAAGGAGTTTCAAAACTCTCAGTGATAGAGAAGTTGATAATAGAAAATTGTTTGGTACTATAGATATAAATAAAATGGGTACTCTTAAATACTTGAAACACAGGTTTGTCAAATTTATATAGAAAAATGTAATTTATTTTTATATATGTTAATATGTCAAAAAGATATAACATTTATTTGCATGACCAGATGCGTCACAGGTCAGAAATGCTTCAAAACCCTGTTCTTAAAAAACTAACGACTGGTTAGTCTTAACTATGTATTATGTTTAGTATGATGTTGTTCTACAGGTTTATATATACCTCCAAATAAATACAGCAAATAATAGCTGACTAGTAATCAAATTAAAGTTGAGTACTTTATTACTTTTATATGTTCTCAAGCAGAAATGATACTGACTTTTCCCAGCATATCTTTACACAACTCAACATGGAATAGGATGCCCCTCAAAGTGTAACATATCAGTTATATGAACAATAGCTAGTGATCCTTCAAAAGTATTAACTACTGGCTGGCATCGTCTCCTTACACCCCTGATAGCCTCTGGATGTTGATATTTGACAGATGGTTCCATTCCTCCACAAGGGTATCACGGGTTACCGAAACAGCAAGCTGGAGGTAGTTATACATATGCTCAATTGGGTTCAGGATTATAGCAGACCACCTTTGTAAAGACAGTGGTTTCCCTTTGAAAAAACTCCCCCATGCTGCGTGGATCACACTGTCATTCATAAAGACGAAATCGATACCATTACCATTGGTGCAGGCTTACAGCATCGTTTATTTCCATAGGATCTTATCCCTGTACTACAAAGGTGTCAAATAACCGTCTCTGGACACAGGGAAGTTTGTCTTGATATTGAAGCTGATGTTCCAGATCACGGTAGGTCCACCACCCTAATACTCATACTCTGCTGTTAGCTTTGTGATAGCCCTCTAACGATTGTGTCCACACTCTGGCACGATGATCTGTGAAGTCAAGACAAAGCCTGTACACGTTTATAAGACCATTGGCGTCTATACTAATTAGGCTCATTCAGTAAAGAATATTTCGTACACATTTAGAAAAATTTAATACACTAGCAATAAAAGATAGGCTAATATCTAAAAGAAGAAACGAAAACTAAATGTCTCAAATAAATTTATGGAATTAGGTTTTGACAACGTTGCCGCTTTGATTTTTTTCACAAATTGAATGTTAAACTTATATAGGCGCTAGCATGAATAAGTGCGAATTATTAACGACTTCTGATTTTTTTAAGCTGGATTAATTGTATAGAAACATAAAAAAATGCATAAGATATATTTTACTATAACTTCGAAATTTTAGTAAACATTATTAATTTGTTGTGAAACTTGAACGATCTATAAGTGTTTATTCGCCAAGAACAAGAAACTGTGAATCAGTGGCCCCCGATTTGTATATATTTGGCATGAATAAAATTTGGATACTCGGTTGTATCAGCTGTTGTTTGCTTGCTAGATAAAATATTTTTATTTGAGTTGTAAATGGGCGAATACTTATAAAGAAGTTAGTTTTGATTTGTGTTTTGAAAATAGCCCGTGTGAATTTTATACAAATAGGAATCTTACTAAAGGTATATGATGTCATACAACAGATTAGATCATAGTAGTTTGGCTATGCTAATAATTTTGTATAGCTATTTTTCATCGAGATTTTAAAGAAAATTACTATATTCTACAATATAGTTAATCCGTGGTTGTTTACATATTCGATCACGTGGTACTACTACAATTCATTACTATGGCGCATTGTTTTGCTCACTGGTTGATGCTATCTGGTCGTCATTGTCAGTTTCTTTCTTTTGTTGTCGTTTTATGTGTAATGTAATATATATATTGACTGTGAGAAGTAGAATAAAGACATATCCTGGCTTCCGGATTCGGAGAGAGCTGATTGTTTTAATTTACTCTCCCCCACTACAGTGGCTCAGCGGTAAATCTGAGGTCTTATACCTCTAAAAACCGAGTTTCGATACTCTTGGTGGAAACAGCTCAAATAGTCCTTGGAGTATCTTTGCACTTAACAACAAACTCTAAAAACACAACAACATGTCCAAAATTTAGATGT